CCAATGTTTGCTTAGACATTTCTTTTGATTTTTATTTTAAACTTAAGAGACACTTATAAGAAGTGTTGTGTTGGGGACTGCCAAGAACTGTTTTTGAGTTCTACACAAACGCTGACTTCCTGACTTACAAGAACCTTGCGCCGCGTATGCTGTGACTATCCCCGAGTTACAGTGGTTGGGAATACCCTACTTCACATAGCAAAGCCAGTCCATTTCTGGGCAACTCTATTATAGTCATTAGAAATGTTTTTCCTGGGGCACCTGGGTGGCTCAGTGGGTTTAAGCGTCTGCCTTCAGCTCAGGTCATGATCCCAGGGTCCTGGGATCGAGCCCTGCATTAGGCTCTCTGCTCAGCAGGGAGCCTGCTTCCCCTTCTTTCTGCCTGCCTCTCTGCCTACTTGCGATCTCTGTCTGTCAAATTAAAAAAAAAAAAAAAAGAAAGAAATGTTTTTCCTTATATTCAGTTCTAATCGCTCTGTACTTGTCCTAGTTCATTTTCTGGGGTCTCTCAGAGCAATCCCTACCTCCTGCCAAGTGGCAGTCCTTCAGGTATTTAGAAACTGGCTCATCTCTCATGCAACTTAACCTGCTTAATATAGCACAGTCTCAAACTCTTGGACAGCAACACCTAGGCCAATACTTGCTAGTCGTGTGGCCTTGGGGCAAGCACCTACTCTCTTTAAAGCACAGGCCGTTTACCTATAATACAGAAACAATTACATAACCTTACCTCCCACACTGTGATGAGGTCGGTAGGTAGGCCATTGGCCTCAAGGAATGGTGGGCGGGGTGTGGGGGAGGGAGGGTCTGAGGGGTGTGATGGGGAAGGGACAGGGACAGTGTGTGGGAACTGCCTGGCTCCCAGAGGGAAACCACCAGCAAAGCCCTCTATTGCTCACTCCCTCACCCTCCCTTTTGCACAAGTTCACTTGCCTGTCAGCTCCACCATTGCCTCTGGTTTACCAAGACATTCCAGGGTGTTGTTGCAATCATCTTTTGAGACCTTAGGGATGCCTGTGCCTTTAGTTTTTGTATGTCCCGCGTGTCTATTTGCTAGGCTTGCTGCAACAAAGTTCCACTAAAAAGGTTTTGCACTCAATTCCTCTGATGGAGGAAAAAAGGGCATCCCAGCCCCAACAAGCAATTCTCCAGACAATAGCCAGGTAGCTTACAATTTAATTCCATTCTGACACGGATTATGTGGAAATGGCATTAGATCCCACAGTTCGAGGGGTCAATCCTACAAGGCTTCCTGCCTCAACATCCTTCAGATGCCAACTTCGAGTCCAGATTGTCACCCCTGCTCCTGACAGACCAATGATCCCTCGGGTTAAGTGGGTTAAGCCTCTGGCTTCAGCTCAGGTGGCCTGCATCAAGCTCTCTGCTCAGCAGAGAGTCTGCTCCTGCCCCACTCTCTGCCTATTTGTGATCTCTGTCTGTCAAATAAATAAATAAAATCTTTTTTTTTTTTTTTTAAAGTTCTTATGGGGGCCCTGAGCCCTGCGTGGCCCTGAGCCCTGAGCCCTGCGTGGCTCAGTTGGTTGGGCGGCTGTCTTTGGCTCAGGTCATGATACCACGGTCCCTGGATCAGGTCCCGCATCTGGCTTCCAGCTCCACGGGGGTTTACTTCTCCCTCTGACCTTCTCCCCTCTCATGCTCTCTTTTACTTGCTCTCTTGCTCAAATAAATAAATAAAATCTTTTAAAAATATAAAAAATAATTTTTTTTTTAAATGAGAAGACTGAACATTAGTGTTCTTTTGAACTCTCAAAGAGCTGAATCATTTCCTACAGCAGTAACATTGCTCCTTGTTGAACCATAGATGGAGTGGGTTATTTTTGTCATCAAAATCGTATCTTTGGAAGGGCCTGGGTGGCTCCGTCGGTCAAGGGTCTGCCTTTGGCTTGGGTCATGATCCCAGGGCTTGGGATTGAGCCCCATGTCAGGCTCCCTGCTTCAGTGAGGAGTTTGTTTCTCTGTCTGCCTCTCCCTCTGCTCCCGTGCCCGTCTCTGTCCCTCTCTCTCTCTCTCACACACACATGTTCTCTCTCTCTCAAATAAACAAATACAATCTTAAAAAAAAAATAAGAAAGAATCTTAACTTTGGACTCCACAGAGAGCCCCAGGAACTTTGACTTTAACCCCAGAGCTGCCAACTTTTCTAAATTGCTACACTTCGGTTTGTGAGGTCTGGGTGAACCTGGGGAGGACATTATGAGGATGATGACAGCGATGGGAGAAAGAAATAAATTTGGAATGGTTAGAGCAGCGATATAGGTAGGGGACTAGTCAGTGGGCTCTGATGCTGTCTGGCGTGTTATCATATTCTCTCTGTCCATCTGAGTCTCTGTTTTTCACTCTATATATATCTGATTCTATTCAGAAAAAAATGTATAATGTATTTATAACTTAATTCACCATTAAGGATATTCATGACAAGAAAACTACCACCTTGTCAAGACATTAATGAAAACTGAAATATCTACTTAAAATTAAAAAAAAATTTATTGAAATGTAATATTCTTATACAGTAAAGTGTATAAATCTTTTAATGGTCAGCTTGATGTTTTATTAAAGGTGAACTGCGTCTGCATAATCACCTGTCAGATCAACTTATAGATCCTTTCCCGATCAGGGTCCACTATTCTGACTTCTATTATCGAGGATCAGTTTTGCCAATTTCAAAATTTACATAAATGGAAACACAGAGTATATATTCTTCTGTGTCTGACATTTTCCTCTGAATTTCCTATCTACGGGAATCATTCACGTTTTGTGTAGCAGTTCCCTCCTTATTGATTTCTCCATAGTGTTTCATTTGTAAATATGTCACATTATTATTTATCCTTGCAACTAAGCCAGGTGCTACAGGGCACATTAATATATAAACAGATAAGTTAATTCCCACATGCCACTTTGCCATGTGGCCTTGTACCTTTGTGTTATGACAGCTAGTCAGTCGGCAGGGCGGTCCTCTGGTTTCCGCACAGCAATAATTTATCCGCCCAAGGAAGTGTGTGTGAACACATAAACATTTCTCATTAAGCCAAAATAAATATATCCCTAGTTCATTTTCCTCTCAACTGAATTAAAAAAAAAATGCCAGCAGCCTCTCCTGGTCCACCTGACATAGGGAACATCTGATGGAAAGAGCGTCAGAGTAAAACGAACAGGCCTAAATGATTGTGAGCAAATAGCTTCCTTTTGCCAATTCTTCAAAATGACCAAGTCAGCACATTGCAGGGCCCCCTTCAAGGGCCATGGGAGAAGGAGGCTGAGTAAAGGAAGGGTTCTTTTTTTGTCGGTTTTTTTTTCAGATTTTGTGTACTTATTTGGCAGAGAGGGAGACAGGGAACACAAGCAGGGGGGTAGAGTGGGAGAGGGAGAAGCAGGCTCCCCACTGAGCAGGGAGCCCCATGCGGGGCTAGGTCCCAAGGGCCCTGGGATCATGACCAGAGCAGAAAGCAAACTCTTAAAGAGTGAGCCACCCGGGCGCCCCTAAAGGAAGGGTTCTGAAGCTGAAGACTCATCAGCTTCTCAGTAAACCCACCCGTGGTGAAAGATCATGTATTGGATTGGCAGTCAGATTAGTGTCAGTTTTTGCCAGCTAGGGTTGGTCTAATGCTATAACTACCTCCTGGTCCAGAGAAGAGACCCCTGATTATAGAACAACTATTGTGACATTACAAAGATTGTTGAGGACATCATACTATCCTCACAGATCAAACAATTTTTTCATCAAAGAACTGGGGGAATCCTAGGATAGAGTGCAGCAAGACAATACTCTATCCAGGAAGTGGATCTGAAACCCCGCCCAACTGTAGGACTAGACACAGTTTTGCCCCTTCCCTCACTGCACTATTGTGTCACCTGGACCAGCCTCCATCTGCCCCCATGTCAGAATAACTACAGCTCTAGCGTGGGGTGTGGGGCTCAACACTAAGAAAGGGCATCATTTCTGCGTGGAGATGGATCAGTGGACAAGAGCTTGGGTGAGACCCATGGCGCACCTCTCCCAAGTCTTTACTAGACTTCGTCCTCTCCCACAGCCAGAGACAGCCTGCTGCACACTTACTTTATTTCATAAAGATGCCAAAGAAGATCCAGACTGAGCTGATGAAGATTGCTAAAACAATCCTTGGAGTTTCCCGGATGGACGAAGACTTGGGTTCTGAGACATTTACTGATGGTGCTAAAACAAACAAAAAGTGAAAGTCCTGTTCAACCTAAGAAAATACCTTCTTGAGAATCGCCAGAGGGGATCCTTGCAGGTAAAGGGCCTTAAGAATCCACTTATCCCAATGAGAACTGCGTAATGTATAAAATTGGTGAATCATTATATTATATATGTGAAATTAATATATTCTGGATGTTAATTATAATTCAATAAAAATAATAAAATACCTTCCTGAGCACCTACTTGCCCCAGGCAGCCCATGTCACCCCCAAATTTATTGATTCATGATGTGGCAGCCACTCTATCCGAACCTGGGGTCTACAGAGGAATGCGGGGTTGTGCCCTGTCCTCATGGAGCTCATATTTCTACTGAGGGAGACAGCTGATGTCCATCTGATTATCACAAGAGTGTGACATATTCACTGTGGGCAGAGCTTTTTGAGAGTGACAGAACTGGGGGTGCTTCATTCTGTCTGGGGGAGGTGGGGAGGGCTTCCTCAGACATGACTTTTGTGCTGGTTAAAGGATAAGTAAAACAGAGGAAGAAGAGAAGGCTGTAAGCACAATGTAGACTCGGGGACCACCTAGCAGTTCCAGGTGACTGGATCATTGGTTATAGGGGAAGGGGGCCCCTGCGTGGAGGGAGGCGAATGGAAAGGAGTGCGATAGGAGGGCCTATGGTGGTCACTGCCTCTCCAGTCCACCAAGAGCTCAGTTAGTTGACTAATCCGTCAAACCAATTGCACACCCGTACTCCTATCCACACAGAAAAGGAAGGTATTTGACCTTTAAAGAGAGCAACCACCTCACCCTGCTCATTTACCTGGGGGTTCCAGCACTTTCTCCCAGTGTTCTAAGAATGCCCTGAGCCAGTGATTGCAGTCTCCCATGGAGATCCTCCTGAAATAGTCAGACAGTCCCTTGTCCTCCCACTCCTCCTTGATGCCTCTGGCTCCAGGGTTCATGACTGTCCAGGTCATGCTCATAGCGTCAAAGAGGAGGGCCACCTCTCCATTGATGTTGAAGCACCAGGATGCAGTGGGGCACCGTTCTGCTTCATGCTGACAACACAGCTGGTTGTCCAGGGAGGGAGGACCTGCAATCCACACACAAAATCATCGGCTTGGACTCTTAACACCATGATCTCCTATGAGGTCCAGTGTGTCTCTGAGGTGGAGCCAGTGTTGAGTTATTGTACAGGAGCCCCAACACTGCACATGCTCCTTGTCTCTCTTGCTGACTGTCTCCCTCTCCCCAGTCCCTTCCCCTACTCACCCCTGGTCATGCTGTTCTCCAGTTTTATATCAGGAAGGATCATCCTGAGCTCTTACCCCACCTCTTCCAGTGTCTCTGTCAGTTCTGTCCATGCTTTGGTGGCATTCACCTTCTGCCCCAGGAGACCCAAAGGTCTGAAATTGTTGCTGTCACTGTCATACTGAAGGAAGGGCTTTTTGTCCACTGAACCCTGCATTTTATACCAGCGGTCTCCAGGTCTGGATTGAGTTGTGACAGTGAGGTCAAGGCAAAGAGAGTGAGCATCTGTGAAAGAAAAAGGCTCCTGGGGCCCCAAGACTCCCTCTGAAAGCCTTACTGCAGAGGGAGGGGGGTCTCCATCCCAGCCCCATCCACTTTTGGATCCTTAGTCCCCACCTTTTACTGTCTGAGCTTTAGGAAAGTACTTTGATGTTACCTACCATAGACCCCTCAGGGACGCATACTATTACCAGGAGGATACATATGACAAATATTTTTAATGACATCTGTCAAGTTCTTAGGTAGAAAAGCTACAAAACAGTGTCTGTCCTCCTGGGACTTAAAATCTAGCTGACCAGACAGGACTTTCAACAGAAAGGAAAAAAAATAAAAAGACAGTATAGGACACATGCCAAACTCCTGATGGCTCTTGGGGGTAACCAGGAGTGGCTTCCTGGAATAGAAGGTGGGAACTGGCAGGAGAGGGGGAGCTGCCCCATGGAGCACCGTACAAGGAGAATGCTTAGCCTGGGACTCTGGTCCTTCAGAATACATGGACAAGTTGGTACTCGCTTGAAATGTGGGGAAACCCTTTTCTCCTGTTTTCCCTCACCCCAGCTAGGTCCCCAGATCCCAGGACACTCATGGCTCACTGTCTTCTGGGCTTGTACCAGCAGCAGCAATAACAAAAGAAAAGATGCAGTATAAGATACTGGCAACATTCCTGAGGAGCGGCACCCTTGGACAGCACACTACAGAAAGTGGTTGTGGGGCACTTCCCAATGTCGTCATACAAGATGGCTGACAGTCCTGCAGGAATCTGACAGAAGCAAGTGGTGCTGAGGGAGAGTTTTGTACCTGTTCAAGGTAAGATTACTCATTTAAGATAAGACAGAGAGAAGACATCACAAAGCAAATTTCACTTAAAAAAAATCCCTCTCCACTCTCCTCGAAACCACTTCCAGTCTAAGTGGGACTGTTGCCAGTGAAATGAGTTCCTTTCCCCTCCCCCACTCCCCCATGCTGCCACCAACTTCCTGTCTTCCCACACTGCCTCTTCTTCCCTCCCTGATCTTCCCATTTCCTCCTCCATCTTTCCACATTTTCTCCACTCTCCCCTTTCCCACCCCCTTCTATGTCTACTGGATCTCTTCTCTCATATCTGACTGAGATTCACACTTCCCAAGTGCACACAGGTTAATCAAAGGACCTGGAGACACAGGGCACCAGGTCTGTCATCAAAGACAGGTTGACAATCTTGAGTCCAGCAATCCTGATGGAGCCAAGACTTGTAAACCCAAGAAAAGCCAAGTATTTTATCATTAGAGAAAGTCTTGGGGTTCTGGTGTTTGAGTTGTGCAAATTAGACTAAGAACAAAGCTTTGGTGTCACTGTGACATTTCTCATGTCATTTTTCTCTTCAAAGTGCCTCTGAAGACTTAATGCTTTTCAGCGCATCCCCCCCTTACTTTTATAGCTATCTCCCCACCCCATTCCATCCAACCATCTTAGAAAGCTCAGGCTGCTATACCAGAATAGCACTTGTCAGGCAGCTGAGAAAGCAAGTGTCTATTTCTTATAGTTCCTGAGGCTGGGGAGTTCAAGATCAAAACATCAGCAGATCCTCTGTCCAGTGAGGACCCCTTCCTAGCTTGAAGAGGGCAGTTTTCTCCTTGTGTCTTCAACCTGGTGGATTGTAGCAGGAGACAACAAGCACTTTCTTTTCTTTTTATAGCCAGCAGTGAGGGGCAGCCTCCTATCCTAATTACTTCTGAACGACTCACCTAATACCTTTATGTTAAGGATTTCAACAAGAATTTTGGAGGATAACGATGTCAAAATGTCAAATACTATCTGTCCCTCTCACAGTTAGGTTTTTCACTGTATGCCTGGTATTCTTCCAGTTATTTAAAATGCAAGTCACAACCTTTTGGTGATATCTTATGAGTCTGGCTCAGGGCTCTCCTGATGCCCGGTAAGTGGGCTGCATCACTGACATTCCTTTAACTAGATCAGATGTTTCAGAGTCAGCCATCCGTTGTCACCACCTACCTGGAGGCTACCAATCAGGAAGTCAGGGGCAGCTCTCAGGAGCTATCAGGAATGTAGGGGGCCTGCCTGGTTGCACTCCACAAGGACCCAGATCAAACCAGCTAGACCCAAGATGTCGCGTGCCAGGAAAAGGAACCCCTGACCAAACAAGAAGAAAAAGCGGGAAAGCCTGTATCACCATACCAAGTAATAAATATTCCACCCCTAGTTAACAACTGTCAATAATGATAGAAACCCAACCCCTGTGCATTCTCTCTCTCTCTTACTCTCTCTCCCGCTCTCACATTTTGAGAGAATCTCTTTAATAAACTTTCCTGCTTGTGTCATTCATCCACTGTGTTGAATGTCTGTCCTTGAATTATTCTCAGGACAAGACCAAGAACCTTCAGTGACTCCTTGGGATGGGCTGGGTCGAGGTCCCTGAGGCACAGGGTCTCCCCAAGTCGCCTGGCAACAAACAAACTTCAAAGAAAGTAACCATAGACTATGTGCAGGGCTTTCTCTCTGGGAAAAGGGGCTTATTTGCCCAGACGACTGAGGGTCAGTGTGTCTGAAGGGGTCTGAAACTACATCTAACGTTCCCGACTAGTAAAATTGGATAAATTCTGTCTGAGAACACGTTTCTACCCTGGCCTGGCAGAAGGACCACAAATTCCTGTTGGAGCATGTTCCGTGTATGGTATGCTACTTGTGGGCAGGAAGGGTGACTCACGCAGCTGCTAGAACACCCAGCGGGTTGGGCTCATGGACAGGCTATGTGTGACTTTGTCCATCTTAGCTTATAAAGGGGCCAGCATTTTCCACAGTCGCTGAGTGAGTCTGAAGTCCCAAACCTAAGCCTAAGCTCTACCCAGTACCTTAAATCCATAGGAAGACATAAATAGCAATGGTAAAAGTAGCTACATAATAAATATGACAGACACTACACATTTACTCTTATTTGTAATTAATTGTTTTTTAAAAGATTTTATTTATTTGTTACAGAGAGAGAGCACAAGAAGGGGGAGCAGCAGGCAGAGGGAGAAGCAGGCTCCACATTGAGCAGTCAGCCTGATGCAAGGCTCAATCCCAGGACCCTGGGTTCATGATCTGAACTGAAGGAGGCACTTAACCAACTGAGCCACCCAGGCATTCCTGTAATTGTTTATTTCCTGTTGATTTTCAGAAAAATTGAGACATAATTGATGTATAACATTGTATCAATTTCAGGCTTACAACATAATGATTTTGATGTCTGTATATTTGCTATCTGATTTAAAAGACAATTGCATAAGCACCAGCGATAATCCCCTTTGGCTTAAGAGGTATGTGGATTTAAACTGTATAAAGAGGTATCTGTAGAACAATGATGGCACAAAGAGGGAGAAGAAATCAAAGGATAATGGAGCAAGGCTGGTGTTACTCTGAACTAGACTGCTTTAGGTAGACCTATTAACTCTAATCCCCAGGGCAACTATATAAGAAAAAAAAATGTAGAAGAATACAGGAAATGAAACAGCAAACGAATGAAAATGGTTAAGAGGCAAGTGGTTTATTGGATGTAGACCCTGTGGGATATGAAAGATGAGGGAACTAAACTGTCCAAGGAAAAACCATCGATGGCTATGCAGGTGTGGATATCACGTTCAGAAGAGAAACTCTAAAAGAGAAGAGAAGCAGGAGGAGCAGATCCCCACCCGTGGCTGTCCAGCAACATTCCCTACCTGCTCCTCATCCATACTGGTTTCCACACGTCACCCTTGAACATCCGCAGTCCCAGGTGCACGGGCTTACCCTGCACCCATGGACCCCTCGCCTCACACCATCACCCACGCTGACTCCATCAGTCTCATCTGCTACCCCATAGGAGGGTTCTGGTTTCTCCACATCCTCTCCAGCACTTGTCAGCATCTTGTCTTCTTGATGCCAGCCATGCTAGGAGATGTGAAGTGGTATCTCTCTGTGGTTTGGGTTTGTATTTCCTTGGTGGCTAAGCATATTAAGGAATTTTCATGTCCTTATTGTCCATTTATACACTTCTTTGGAGAAATACATACTCCAATCCTTGCCCCATTTTAAAACTGGGCTATGACTTGCATATTATCCCATGTTAGAGTTCTATATATATTCTGGATACCAGTGTTACCAGATAGATGGTTTGCAATTACTTTCTCTCCTTCTGTAGGTTGTCTCTTTTACTTTCTTGATGGTCTCTTTGAAGCACACGTGTTTTAAATTTTGAGGGAGTTGATTTCATCTTTTGCTGTTGTTGTTACTTGTGCTATTGGTGCATTTAAGAAGGTCTTTCCAAACAAGCTCACAAAGATTTATTCCTATGTTTTCTTCTAATGCATTCATAGGTTTATCCCTTACATATATATCCAATTTGGGTTATCTTTTTGTGTATGGTGTGAAGAGTGGTAGAATATGGCACCCTCACATTTACTGCTTTGTCATATTGCTTATTTTGAGAAACAGCTAATGAAGGGGGAGGCTGTCTCTGAACTCCCTTCCCACTCCCCCACCCCCATTTGTTTGAAGACAGATATTTGGAAAGGAACTCACATGTCCACAATCTCCTGGCAACCAGGATTTACTCATCACAGGAGTGGAGAGTAGAAGTCCACAACACACCCAGACAGCTTTGTCACAAACCATTATACCTCTTATCTATTCTTCTGAGTGTTCATTCATCTTTTCTAAAAAATCAGCTATTCTCTCCTAAAAGGCCCACATCCCTGCTCCCCTTTTCTCTATTAATATGCCACTTAATCCTGGCTTTTTAGCCCCTTCCAGGAGTCACTAATTTTTCCCTGAATATCTCCCCTGTGTACATGAGGTATATATTTTAATAAAAATATATATTTCATATAAATTGTATATATTACATATGTATATGTATATTTTTAAAAATAAACTTCAGTTTGTTGAGGGGCTGAGAGAGAGAATCTTAAGCAGGGTTCCCACGTCCCTGAGACCATGACCTGAGCCAAAATCAAGAGTTGGAAGCTCAAGTGACAGATTCACCCAGGTGT